CCGCTCCCGGGGCTGGTGTAGGACAGCGCGTTCGGGCTGCTCACGGGGACCGTGACGGACATGGAGAAGTTCTGAGGCGGCAACCCCGGCTGTGAAGAAAGAACAGGAAGAGAAGATGTCAATTTCATTTCCATCAAACGCATTCACTGATGAACTTCACCAACTAACTAGTTATTAAAAGCAGAGGATGGGAACAGATCCTTATAAATCTTCAACTCGCAGGTGTAAGCTCTTTCCTTTAGAATTATATTTAAACAGGAGTACGTTTCACATGAACCTTTTCCATTTTTTATGTATTAATACATATATTCTGACATAATGTATATGTTATATATTTCAAACATTCATAGAGATGAAAAAGTCCACCTAATGTTAAAGTACTGTGGTCAAATTCAGACATTACAAAATATATCGTGTTACCAAGTTAAGCATAAATCATCACTTCAATGAAACCAGTTTAGTAACATTACATTTCTATTGGGAGATTCCCATTATAATAAAAAGGGCAAAGTGTGTAGAAATATTATAAACTTAATACATAGAATTTCAGACATTATAAATAACCCTGGAATGATTTAATTGACTGACATTCTTAATGGACAAAACTAAAAACAACAATTAAGTTACATATGTAGCACAAAGCAATCTGAGTGTAACGAAAGGGAAAAAATAATCTAAACAATAAAATTAACAACTGACAAGCTCTCTAAATTGTCTGATGATTAAATTATAACTATTATCAATGCTATCTTCCTTCCCTCCAAACAGTCCACACCCCCTTTAAAGTATTTTCTGTTTTCCTCTTTCATTCCTGCATAGACCAATTTCAACAGATGTGTTAACCATGACAAGTAACAATCCTTTTTATAATTTAAAATGAGAGAAAAACCATTCCTCTTCAGACTTTTTAAAAGTGATTTGCAAAGTTAGGAAACACTGCTAATTCAAAGTTGGAAGAATACAGTTTATATATTCTATTCAATAGTTTATTTCAGGTAGAAAATTATAATTCATTAACAGACACGAAACAGTGGACATACGATTTAAAAATTTTTCAAAGGTAAACACTTTCATTTACACAATATTTTTTGCAGCTTAACATTAACTGCAAGGTCACAACATCCCTATGAGGTCAGAAGTAATTTTATTTTTTGTTTGCTATTGTTTTGTTTTTAAAGACAATGATGGTAATAGCACAAAAATATGTCCTTAAGTCTATCTTTCATGAGTGGCGTGTACAGTATAGGACTGCTCTGAAGAAACAACCCATGATGCTTACTTCAGAGCGTAGTTTTAAGAGCATTAACTCCGACGGTGAGGCCGACACGACACTCACAGCGTTTGAAACTCAGATTCACAACAGCTGCCTGAGGAGCTCTTGCCAACGGGACTTCCAATGAGAACTCTTTGAAGAGCTGTCCAAGGAGCGTGAGCTCAAAGAAAGACCGTTTCCGGACGGTTGGAGGTGTGAGCGGGGACAGCTCTGAACGACTATTCACTCTGCGTGGGGTTAAGAAGCTGCTTCTTAAACTGAAATAGATCCAGGGCTCCCTTCCCCGGTGCCCACAGGCTCAGCAAAGCACAGGAGATGTTGTTGCCAAGTGGTGTGAGGACATTTACAAAGAGCCAAGCACTGAGCTGCTACTATTACAGCAACTACTCAACACGAGGAAAAATAATTTTGAGCACGACCAGCGGGGCTCAGTGGTTGAGCGTCAACCTGTGAACCAGGAGGTCACAGTTCAATTCCCGGTCGGGGCACATGCCCGGGTTGTGGGCTCGATCCCCAGTAGGGGGCGTGCAGGAGGCAGCCGATCAATGATTCTCTCTCATCATTGATGTTTCTCTCTCCCTCTCCCTTCCTCTCTGAAATCAATAAAAATATATTTTAATAATAATTCTGAAACAGCAAATTTCTTAATAAATCTAACTATTTTATACCCCATAGTCTCAAGATCTATTTAAAGTGCATGAAATATTTTTTTAAGTCCTAGGAGGGAGAGGGCAGTCATATGCACCCTACAGTTAAAATCGCTGAAATTTAGAGCTGACGAGACCTTAAACATGATGTGAGGCAACTCACTCCTTTACAGAGAAGGAAACTGGAATCCAGGATTGGCAGGTGCCCTACCCACAGGCACAGGGCGCAGAGGGCAGCGAGCCTGACTAGAACGTTTCTCCTCACGCCTATGTTTAAGGCACTGAACACGTATGGTAAGATTTCAGCGATTTTGACCTAAAGTTCTATAAAGTAAAATATGCTTTGTTCCCTCCTCCTACTTATCACTGCCGTCACTGAAAATAAACAAGACGTGTGGTCAGTGTCTTCATGCACAAGTTAAAAGCACAAGCCAGACGTTCGTACTCACTGCGATTTTATGATTCCGCATCATATTATCAAATTCCTCATTAATTTTTTTATACTTCTCTTCTGTGTGTGGCGTTAGCACATAGGGAGTATCGGGGTCTGGGCTGTCGCACCCTCGGTGCTCCTTCTTGTTCAGAGCCTAGATGATGAAGTTAACAGAAAGGATCAACACATCACAAGGTGAGGCGAGGGAAGTACTTACAGGGCCTCGTTTGAAAATAAAATCACCCTCTTCATTTAGTTTGCTGAGTCTGTCCTCCGAGAGCGGACTGTGCTCAAAGTAATCGTCAGCATCGGGGCTCTCACAACCATTAAGGCCTTTCTTTCTTAACGTCTGAAATACAATTGGAAAGTTCACACACACAGGATACTGACGTCCGCGAGGTTTTCTGTAACATCGACTACGAGCACACAGGAGCCACTGGCATGGTCTCACATGTCACATGGACTTGAGTCCTCGGTGAGGCAGAAGCAAAACCCATGTTCCCTCTGCACCCCAACAGCAAAGGAGTGTTTGGGTGGACTCTTCCTTTCCGAACTCCCAAGAGAATTCTGACCCACGACTCACTGCTCTCCAGCCTCCGCCCACCCTGATGACGCCTCACCCCCATATCCGAGGGCTAATGGGCGTGGGAACCGAAACAGAAATGTATCATGATGACGCCCCGAGAATTTAGGATGGTACCTTAAAAAAATGGACACTTCAGCAACTTCACCTATTGACACTGTGCTCTGAAAGTTTATCCCAATCCCCAGAGAGAATCAAATCAGCACAATATCCCAAAAATTTCCTCCTTCACCTGCTCTGAAATACGATCATTTTCCTACATAACTTTGAAGTACACAAACTCAAATACTTAATATATGACAGTAACGACTCCTTCCTATATAGAATGAACGTATTAGCGCCCTTACATCTTTTTAAAATTTGTAAAAACAAGTGACTCAGCATTATCTCCCCGGCTCTTTCCATAGTGCTTCATGGGTTAACTTAATCCACTCAAGTGACTTCCTGGAGAATTTTCTCGAATGTCAGCAAGTATCCCTGCACCAAAATGACTTTTCTTCTTCTTCCTAATATAGCGAAAATACTGTGCACAGCTGGGTTTCTACTTTTAAAGTTTTTAAATGAAAAATCATCATGAAATGATTTGTCCAGTATTTAAAACCAAGGGCTTGACGATCTATGGAATACTAACTCACTTCTAGAAGGTCTGTTTTTAAAAGTCCTCGTGGGTCTTATTTCACAGTAGAATTCCTGGGTCCAACACCTTAAGTAGCTTTGAGATTTGTTGATTTTCCAGCCAACCAAATGGAAGTTTTAGGAAGGTGAAATTTTCCAGGTAAGCCTACCTCCCAGAGTTCATTTAAGTAGGAAATGGTTTGATCCATAGACCAGCACTAGATAAGTTCATTAATAATTATTTAAATTCGATTGAGGAATCTTTAATTAATCCATAGTAATAGATTTTTGCCTCCGTTAAAACATGACTTACAATAACTGTGAACGCCAGTGTTACTCCTCCTTTCTTGGAAGAAGTGAAAATCACACAATACATTAAGATTTGTGACTTTTTCCTTAGTTTCTTTGAAGTAGTTATTTTACGATTTTACTTCACTAAACTTGATTTTCTTTTCATGCTTAAAGAACCATCAGAAACCATTAGTACAGATATATTAGCGTCTCAAACTACTGGGTATGTGCTAGGAGCCCCACGCACAATGCCCGACACCCACCGGTCTCCGACCATAGCACCCAGCACGCACTGCAGCTGGGCCCAGCACCGGCCTGAGCCCTCGGCTGCGGTCTCACCCAGCACAGGGACGCGGCGTGCGCTTGGCCATAAAAGGTCCTGTTGTTTAGAACCCAGGATGAGGACAGGCGCCCTCCCCCCGCAGCGGCCGCCCTGCCAAACGCGAGCTGCTATCGCAGGAAGGTGTTAACACTCAGAACTCTGCTCCGAGGAACTCCATGCCCGCACAGCCCTGCCACAGAACACACAGCAGGTGCCTCCGCACATGTCATCATGAGGCGGCCGACTTCTCCCAGCCCCTCGTCCCCGGAGGGCTCCCTCCTCTTCATCAGCCTTCCGAGCAGACCCTGCAGTCTTGCGCTTTCACTGACAGCGATCACCGAGTGCGTGTCTCTTTGAACACCGTTTGTTACGAAGAAACATGGCCTGTTTAGCAGCTACACCCAGTGCTCACTGCACAGCGGGGGGTCAGCCTGCTTGCTCTCCTGGGAGCGGCTCTCACCGCCGGTCCTGGAGGGAATGCAGCCGCTATCAGCCGCAGATAAGGAACTAATGTGCCTCTGCCGGGAGCCAACTGCGTCCTTATCGCCCGGGCAGGGAGAGCGGTT